AGTAGCATCGTAAAAGCATTATACAGCATGTTAAGTGGAATTGAACCACAGAATGCAATGGTTCAACATATTAAAATCAATCAATGTAATAAGCCACATTAATGTAATAAAGAAAAAACCCTACACATGATAATCTCAATGATACCAAAAAAAAAAAAAAAACAAAAGACACTACACAGAATCCAACACCCTTTCATGACAAGAACACTCAGTAAACTCAGAATAGGGAGGGAACATCCAAACACGATAGAGGACATTTATTAAAAACCCACAGCTAACAGAATGCTCAGTGATGAAGTTCAGAAGCTTTGCCCCCAAGAACAGAAACAAGGCAAGAGGGCCCACTTTGTCCACTTTATTTGACATTCTACTGGAAGTTCTATTCAGAGTAATTTGGGAAGTAGAAGAAATAAACATTGTCACAAGTGGTGAGAAAGAAGTAAAATTTCCTTACTCACATATGACATATGTCTTAAACATACCACAAAGAAACCCCAAACCCACGAGGACTAATGAAGAAATTCAGCAAGGTTTGGGGATACTAGAACAACATGCCAAAATGAGATGCATTTCTGCTGTATGCAGTGTAAATGCCTGTAATCACAGTGACTCAGGAGGCTGAGGCAAGAGGATCACAAGTTTGAGGCTTGCCTTAGCATCTTCACGAAGCCCTGTGCAATTTTGTCAGATCCTGTCTCAAAATAAAAAATAAAAAGGGCTGGGAATGTAGCTCAGTGGTAAGGCACTCCTGGGTTCAATTTCCCAGTACCAACCAACCAACCAACAAAAAAGAGATGCATTTCTATACATTAGCAATGAACAATCTGAAAAGAATATTAAACAATATTAAACAATTCAGAAGAATCTGAAAAGAATATTAAACAATTCGATTGACAAAAGCATCAAAAACATTGACATAGGAATTAATTTAATCAAGGGGTTACAAGACTTGTACAGTGAAAATTATAAAATATTGTCAAAAGAACTTCAGAAGATTTAAGTAAATGGAAATACATCCTATGTTCATGGATTGGAGACAATGTTGTTAAAAAGACAATACTTCTCAATAAGATCTACATATTCAATGCAATTCCTATCAAAATCCCAATGACTTTTTTCAGAAGTGAAAGCCCTCATGTTCACATGGAATCTTAATTTAAACCAAAATAGTTAAAAATAATAATGAAAAAGAATAAAGTTGGAGGACTCACATTCCTAATTTCAAAACTGCCTACAAAGCTACAGAAATCAAAATAGTTTAGTACTAAAAAGATAGACACATAGGTCAATGGAATAGAATTGAGAGTCTAGAAATAAACCCACACTTTATGACTCACTGATTTTCTACAAATGAGCTAAGACCATTCATGGAGGAAGAATAGTCTATTCAATAAATGGTGCTGGAATAAATGGACCACCACATGTGAAAGAATGAAATTCATACCATATACAAAAAATAACCCCAAAGAGACCAAAGCCCAAATAAACCAAAGCTATGGTTTGGTTTCTTTGGGCTTTGGTCTCTTTGGAGTTAATTTTTTTTATATGGTATGAATTATATGGTATTATTCACTACCTTGTATTTACAATAACTTAGTTGTTATGATACCATAAGGGCCCAAGAATCTAAAGAAAATATTAAAAAATGAACTTCATCAAAATTATGACTTTTGTAGTACTGGCGGGTAAATATAGGTACTTGCATATGCTAGGAAAGTGCGCTACCTCTGAGGTACATCCCCAGTTCTTTTTAAAATTTTAAATTTTGAGATAAGGTCTCACTAAGTTGCCCAAACTGACCTCAGACTTGTGATTTTCCTGCCTCAGCATTCTGAGTAGCTGGGATTACAAGTGTATTCCACATATGTGACTTCAAAATTACAACTTTTGTGCATCAAAATATATTATCAGGAAAGTGAAAGATAACCTACATAACTTGAAAAAGTATTTGCAAATTATATGTAAGGTTGTAGTATCCAGAAATTTTATAAATAACTTGTACTATTCGGAATAAACAATTTAATTTAAAAATAGCTGAAAGACTTGAACAGACATTTCTCCAAAGGAAACACACTAATAGTCAATGCATGCAATAAGGCGGCCACTGTCACTAGTCATCAAAGAAATGCAAATCAAAACCACATGGAGATGCTACTTCATTCTCACTAGGATTGTTATAATGATAATTTTTTAAGTGGAAAATAACAAATGTTGACAGTAATGTGGAGAAGTTTGAAAGCTCATATATTGGTGGTGGGAAATAAAAAAAATTGCAGCCATTATGAACAAAAATTTGGCAAGTTTTTAATAAGTTAAACATGGCCTTTAATAAGTTACAATATGGCCTTGAAATTCCACTCTATGGCCCAAAGAATTGAAAAGAGGTATTAAAAAACCTCTACAGTAATGTTCATAGTAGCACTTTTAGGAATCACCAAAATTGGAAACAACTCTCAAATCCATCAGCTAACAAATGTGTAAGCCAAATGTGGTATATCCAGACAACTGGATATTATTCAGTCATGACAAAGAATGTGTTTGTATACACATGACATGGAAGAACCTTTGAAACATTTTTATGAAAAAAGCCAGGTACAAAAGGCCACATATTATATGATCACATTTATATAAAATACCCATAAGAGGCATATTCATAGACATATGAAGCAGATGAGTGTTTCCAGGGTTTGGGGCAGGGGGGATGGGGAGTGACGGCTAGAGGGATTCCCCTCCAGGTGATAAAAATCTCCTGAAACTTAGTACTGGTGGCCCAAGATACATTTTTTTAATTGTTAATTATAATTTCTACCACATATTAATCAGTGTTCTCTAGAGGAACAGAACCCATACTGTGTGTATGTATAAACAAACAAACAAACAAACAAATAATTTTGCTCAGGCTAGCCTTGAACGTGCAATCTTACCTCAGCTCCCAAGTAGCTGGAATTACAGGCAGGTGCCGCTGTACCTGGCTGTAAGTGCAAATCATCTAAAATTATATGGTAAAAATAATTCAGATTGATTTTTTGGCAATATTCTCAAGGTCTGAGAAAGGGTTCAACATATTTGGTTCTGGGAAAAAAACCTTTTAGGAGAATATTTTGGTGCATCAAGATGGTGATAAAAACAAATTTGTTTTAGAGCAGGGGTTTCCCATTCATTAGCCATGACCCACAAAGCCTGCTGAACACTTAAAAATGGGCTTAATGTGAACTGAAATGTGAACTGTGGAGCATTGGGATGGGAGACGTGCAATTGTCCCTTTAGAACATGAATGAAAACGTCTCTACTGGTTTGGGAGTGTGTTGGTTTGCTAGGGCTACTGTAACAAATGACTTCAACCATAGAAACATATTGTTTTATTGTTCTGGAGCCTAGGAGTCTGAGATCAAGGTGTAGGGGGAGGGGGTGTTGGTTTCTTTTGAAATTTATATAATATATATTTATATATTGTTCAAAAACATATTTTATATACATAAATATATAAATTAGTATATATGTTATTAAAATAAAAATAAATGATGTATTGACTCAGTTTTGAGGCCCTTGTTGGGGCAACAAGTTTCCCTCTTGAGAACTGGTTGAAGCCAAACCTAAACCACTTCCCTTATCTGGGCTCTCATGCTCCTGGCTGCTATGCACCTGTTCTAATTGCCCTATGACCCTATACCAGACAACTAGGAATGGCCCTTATGCTTTGGAACCCACAAAATTATTCAAATTGCTGCACAAGGAGTCCAGGAAAGCTTGCCAGCATCACCTGGTTTGCAATAATATGCTGCCCCCATAATTCTAGCTGTGCCTGGTATGACCCTTCTGTGACCCTTTTGTGATCCTGTGGCAATCCTCTCCTTTTGAAGTTGTCAGTAACAAGGGTTATTTTTACCAGAGCACCGTGTGGTGTCCCACAATCAATAAACTCTGAACTTTATGAAACAATTGGTGAGCAGAACAGCATGCTGATAAACTTGGTTCTGGCATAGCTTCTCAGAGGTCAGCTGTTGGCTTACTAATTGGTTTCAAAACCACCAGAAGAGCAGCTTGGGAAGGAGCTATTGCCTGTGGTGAGTTTCTGCTTTAGATTTGCCTGCCGTCTGCTTCTATGTCTATTACTGGTTTCCACATCTCTCCTTTCCCACACTTCCTTTGTGTTGAAATATTAAAAATGAGCAGTTTGGGGCTGGGGTTGTAGCTCAGCGATAGAGCGCTTGCTTAGCATGTGTGAAGCACTGGGTTCAATTCTCGGCACCACATAAAAATAAATAAAGGTCTACCAACAACTAATATAATATTAAACGAATTATGAGCACTTTTAATTGGCTAAACTTGGTGGGCTAGAGACTAGGCCAGATGGGGCTCTCTGGTAAGGCTATAGGAAGGACGGATCTCTTGAGTCACACTTTCCTGGACCAGGTGTTTCAGCATGTTTCCTGTCAGCCTGTGGTTGGCAGAGGCCTATTCAGGAGGCCCTCACATTTTTGGCATTGGTATTTATTATTATTTGGGGCGGCACCCTGGTTTGTTCCTGTGTTTGTACAGCCCATATGGAGGAAAGCGGATTGGGCTCCCCCACAGAAGAGCAATGGTACCTGGGATACCAACCTATCTCAGGTGGGATAGCAACCTATCTATCTTCTTTATAGTGACCACCTGGCTGCATTCACTGTGAACTTCATGCTCCCCAGACCCTCAAGGGTATTGTTGGTCTTACCCTTGAAGACCAGCTCCCGGTTTGATTCTAAAGGAGTCCTCTGGAACAGGGGAACAAATAGTTCATCCTTATACTGCCAACCCCACCGCAGTGCTTGCCAAAGATACCCATTGATTAACCAATGTATAATCAATCCCCTGTTGGTGTGTTTGAGCCTTAACAAGTGCTGCCGCATGTCAACATGCAAGGGGACTGACACATGGGATTGTCTAAGTTAGGCTGCTAGAACAAAAATATCATAGATGGGGTGGCTTAAATAACAAATGTTTATTTCTCACATTTCTTATAGGAGGCTGCAAAGTTGAAGATCAAGACACTGGAAGATCTGTTATCTGGTGAGAGCTTGCTTCCTGGCTTACAGAAAGAATTCTTATATCCTCACACAGGAGGATACTAATATATAACTTTTAGGAAAACACAAGCATTTAGTTCATAGCAGGAGCTTAATATGCTGTCTAAGGAGAGACATGTTTCCAGAGTCTTCATTTTTACTAAACTCACATTATAAAGCCTCACGGAACACTGCTTATCCCCTTAAAAGTTCCAAATATAACTAATTGTAGCACACATTTCACCTTTCAAATACACAATGCTGAACTCTTGGAAAAGGCATTCAGTAGAATTGTCATGTCCCTAATGAGACCCAAACAGCCTATTTAATGAGACACATTTATATCTTCACCTCCTTTTTTAAGTCCAATCTGGCAAATGCATCCCTTAATAAGCCTTTATTTTGCTTCAGATCTTGATCTCTCATAATTCAAGGCCCTTTGGCCAATTCACACCACACATCATTTTTTAAAAACTTTACCAGAATTCTTACATGTCCTTAAAGAGAGATTTATTCCACTTTCTAATATTAAGGACCGATTATATATGAAGACTTTTAATAATGTCTGATACAAGACCCATTTAGGTCTGAATTTCTACCACTCAAAACACCCTCCCTCTATATTCAGATCATAGGGAGAGGGTAATTTATCTGGACTTTCCTTCTGCTACCCTCCAGGAAGTTCAAATTAGTTCTCGAGGGTCATTACTACAGACAGTTTGTATTACCAAGATGGAATATAGTCAATATAGTCTCCACACAGTCATTAAAAATCATATTTACAGATAATAGTAAAACCAATACCATATTAATCATAAACCCCAAACCATATAAAGCCTCCTTGATAACAAGGCCTGCTGAAAAAAAAATCAGTATCAAAGAATAAAAACCTTTCAAGTGGGCTGCACATCTTTTTGTTGCTGGATGCTCTTGTTGCTATTTGTTTGTAGATCTGTGATCCAAAAACATAAACTATCCAAATAAGTCCTGTTTCAACCAAACATGATCAGTGCTTAGGCCTGCATGCTATCGAGTGGGGTTAATGCAAACCTTGCAGCCCAGGGGTCTCATTGGCTTGTCTATCATCAACCGAATTGACAACAGAGGCAAAGAGCCTGTAGTAATTGGTGAACCAGAGAGCCTGCCCATATCTTAGTCTAATCTTAGACATTTTAATTAGCAAACAACCTGGCACTCTATTTAGCTCAAATAAAACTATATGATTTAAAATCTATTTGTAAGGGGCTACAGCTTAGTGATAGAGTGCAGGACTAGCATGTGTTAGGCCCTGGGTTCAATCCCCAGCATTCCCTGCCACCAATAGGATTAAAAATAAAAAATAATTGGCAGAAAAACATATATTATCATTCCAAACCTTAGACTGTTAGGAATTTTAGATTTGGCCATCCTTAACTGAAGCTTTAATTATGCTAGTGCATTCTGTGCTTTGGTGCTTTATAGCAGTATCATGGATGCTTACATCACTTTTATTTTCTGTGCACCCACAAGCCCCTTAACTTTGAAAGACATTTGCAAGTCAACCTTCCAGGTCCAACATTGCATTTAAATTTTGTAAACTGCTCAACTTTGTATAATAGCATACATTCACAAAATAAAGACCTATATCAACCAGAATGGGTATCCACTTGAAAATAAGGGCCCTGTTCAATGTTGTAGAAGACATTGCTCCATCCATGAGGGGCTTGGAACATATCATTCCAAGTACTTTTGGATTTTAAAATTTTTGCTGAAAAATCAGAAGTATTTCTGATTGACTTGCCTATATGTGACCTGATATTTTTCTCTTGAGATTTTAAAATTCTATCCTTGTTTTGTATGTTAAGCATTTTAATTATAATATGTTATGAAAAGGTCTTTTTTGATCTTGTCTAGTTGGGGTTCTAAATTGCCTTTTTAAAAAATATTGTTTATTATTGTCAATGGATCTTTATTTCCATTTATTTATATATAGTGCTGAGAATCAAACCCAATGCCTTACACATGCTAGGCAAGCACTCTACCCCTGAGCCATAACCCCCACCCCCAAACCAATAAAGTATTGTTGAAGTTTCAACATGGTTCACTTATGTGTGGAGCAAGGTGTACTCTGTTTGCTGATTTCAGCTCAGCAGCAAAGATTCTACCCTGTGAACTTGTGGTGTCCCAGTAATTTTCTGGCACCTCCCAGAAAAGGGTGAAACAAACAATAGCAACAACAGAAGCAAATTACAGCATTACAATAAATACCTGGTGCCTATTATGACTTACACAACACTAATTACCACAGAAACAGGAAGGGTCCCCAACTGCCAAAAGCAAAACCATTAATTAGCCACAAAGTAGATCTGGCACTAAAGTAAACTTTAGGTGTCAACTACTCCATACACAGTGTTAGTAAATTCAGCAACATGAATGGTGGGGGCTGGAATTATATGAACCAGAAATTCTAAAAGATGATAATAATAGTTCATTAAGAGAAAATAAAATGTGATAGAAAGGTAAAGGGAAGTTGAACATGTTCAAAATTTTAACAGAAAAAGAAGAGATATAGCAAGTGATGGCTATAAAATGGAAGAGAAAAAATAAATAAAAGAAAAAGTAAAGGGATAGAAAATGAGAGAAGAGAATTTGGCTATTAGAGGAAGAAGAGAGGAAACACTAAAAATAAGCACTAAAAATAAACAAAAATAAAAACAAAATAAACAAAACCCAATCCCTCAAAAGACAAGACACAGAAAAATAGCAGTCATTCAAAAATGCTAAAAGTGAGAGAAAAAGAAAAAAATATGTAAATGTACATATATCCACATGTACTTCCATATATTCAGCTCAGCATGAATACACACATCACCACTACCACCACTCCATGGAAAACAGACTCAATGAAAATGAAGATATTTTCTTCACTGAGTTGGTCAAAACTGTCAAGGAGAATGGATGATCATTGCCTATTCCTGACTATCCTTTCCATTTCTTCCTGGGTGGTGTATCCCTTAGAGCAAGGGCTGAGTTTTTTCAAATCTTTTCTCTTTTTGTGTGGTTCATTGAACTGCCAGCTGGCATGGCCTCAACGGAGGCTTCCCTTCTCTCCAGTCTAAGGCAGGACAGAATGAGAAGTACGGTTGATAGGGATTTTGTCTGGACAAACTGGATCGAGACACTCTGAGGGTGGGGCTGCTTCAGAGTTCTAAGTAGGCAGTTCTGGTGGCTTGGGTTTTCTGATCAGGCTTTTGGAACTTTGTTGGGTGGTACCTGCTCTAGAAAGATTAGATCGATGCACCTGTAGGGCCAGCCAGATGCCAATCTCTGCTGGATGGATCTCAGGAGCCCACCAAGAATTCTACTTTAATTTCACATTCTGCTGCCCACAAAAATGGCCTTCCCAAATTCCATCCCTGAGGATATTCATGCCTGCCTGTTCAGTTTCCTGACCCTCTTCAGCTGGTCATGTGAGCCATCAGATTCAGCCTACCCTCCTTATGGTTAGCACCCCTCCATATCTCTGACTTGAGTCCTCCTGGGTACAATATTCTGTTTGTGCCTGTTTCAATTATGTTCTTGTAGGTACACTCTGGTCTTTATGGTAGATAGATGCTTGCTAGAACAGTATGGCAATGTTTGCTCTGATCTTCTGAGCTCTCCAGCAGCAAGTTGCAATGTGGGCTCCTCATGATGGCTCCCTGTCTCATCTCTCTGTTTGCCAGTTGGGAAACCGAAATTTTCAAAGACAAGTTTGCTATGCAGTTGCTGGATCAGCTAAGTTCAAACTCTTTTTTATCCTACAGGTCTTTCCATGTCTTTGTCCATTGTGCTTTTCTCTTTGTGCTATCCCTCCTCTCTGTAGTGAACTGGCACTGGTTCTGCAACTGGCCTGGCTCCAATGTACTCTTCCTTGTTCTTTGCACAATGCACCTGAATTTCTGAGTCTCTATGAGACTATCACTGTATGATATTGAATTTCAGTGAATTCCCACTTTGACCCAGAGAAGAAGTACACCTGATGCTTGAATCCCAAGCAGTGGAGCAACTGGAAACTCAGATTTCCTCTCGTACACCATCTAGCTCCATTTGAGAGGCCTTGACTAGAGGCTGTTAGTTTCCCTTCTTGAGCATCTGATTTAATTCCATGTCTCAACCACTTCTCTCATGCAGATTTCACATTCCAGGTCATTGGGCACCCACCCTTAATTGTTCCAGAACCAGCTGTCAGAAAACTAGGAATCACTCATAAACAGCTAACCCAGATCTCATGAGATTATTCAAATTTTTCAATGTACAAGAAGCCATGGAGACCAGTCCCCTCTCCCTAGCTGGCCATATATTGCTTGTCCTCTATAGCCCCAGCTTGTTGTGACCTTATCTTCAGGTATAACTCCTGGGTAGACCTTCATGGGAGCCTTCTCTGATTTGTAGCTATAAGTAACAAATAGTTATGTCCTTCATTTATCCAAGTGTCTTTGTGTTAAGGCCTTTTGTCAAATTAGTCTTTAAATTCTATAAAAACAAGAAGGAAGAATCCATTCCTTGTCTCTCTTCTACTTTCAAGTGTTCTGCTGACAGTCTTTGGCACTTTTCTTAACTTATAGACAAAGCAATACCCTGGTCTCTGCCTTTATCCTACATGCTTCTTTTCCTGTGTGCATGGTTAGCCTAATTTTCTTCTCTTTATAAGGACATTGGTCATATTGGATTTGGTCCAGGCTTATTTCAGTACATTTCATCTTAACAAATTATATTTGCAATGATGCCATTTCCAAATAAGATCACATTCCAAAGTACTGGGGTTAGAACTTTAATATGAGAATGGGCAATTTGGCTCAGGACAAGAAGTATTTATTAAAACCACATATACAACTTTCCTATGACCCATCAATTTCTTAAATTGTGCTTCATTTTATTTTGTATTTGTTGTCTTTAGTTATACATGACAGTAGAGTGTATTTTGACTATTATACATACATGGAGTACAACCTATTCTAATTAGGATCTAATTCTTGTGGTTGT